TGTTGCCAAAGGTGAATTATAATACAAGTTGCAACAAAAATTTATTGGATTTGTCTATTAGAAAGCATGAAAATTAACACCTTCATTTCATGCTATCTATGAATCAATATCCAAAACACAAGTATTTCTATCTGTTCTGGACAAGACAATAGGAGACAGGTGTTCATGACTACGACTGGAAAAGGACATGACAAGAAGTGATTTGTGACCTTGTAATCCTTTCTACTTGTGGCTTGTGTGAGTCGGTAGCATAACATCGAACAAAGATGCCACTGTTTGCAATTTTAGCAGCACTCTAATTGTTGCCATCCACCCGTTTATCTGTAAAACGAGTTAAAAAGATACCTGCATAGCCGAGGTGAAATCATTAGTCACCTCATTCTCCTGAGCAGATTTGAGTTTTCTTAAAAGAAAAACCACAAACACAAAATCAAACACGTAATCTCTTAATTGCCATCACTTTGTTTCATGAATCTCATAACTAATAATTTAGTCATTTCTTTCTTGTGATGTACCATATGATTATGGGAACCAAACGAGCAACCAGACGGCACAAAGAAAATTTGCAAAAACAAATGATTGTATATGAGTCCAGACACGATATTAAAATCTATAAGCAAAAGTGTGGAAAAGCAATGTCATAAATAAAACAAAGGCTTGAATATAAAGTCCCCACTAGAGAATCTCGAACAACCTCAGATTCTTATTTTATGACCGAAACCTCAGGTTCTTCAGAAGCTTGAATACAAGATGCAAAATAGTTTGGTTGGTGCTGCAAAGCTGCAACCATAAAATGCATTTGAGTATTGTATATTTTTATGCAACCTCTACTTCAGGAGAACACATCAAAAACTTTTAAAAGTTGGTTAACCAACAAGAATCAAATAAATTTAATTATGGTGACATACCTACATTGGGATCCCTCTTTTGAAGGACCAAGGGTTGTGATAATTTGGAAAAAGACAGTTATGCACAAACAAGAGACCAAATACTGGAATCAAACTCATGCACTGCTGAAACAACCTGAGCAATAATTAAACAGCCATCTTAGAATAGGAGATGAAAATAGCAATAATTAAACAGCCATCTTAGGAGATGAAAATCAAAAGTAGCAGTACAGAAAAAGCAAATGCATTTATAGTGAATTTTAAGATCATAATTTTTTTTTATTGATGATCTAAGCTTAGAATCAATTGCACTAAAATATACCTTATAGGAAATGCGGGCAAACCTATGCCAATTTAGCTCAAATCAGGTGACATGTTCTTACAGAGGGACCTTGAACATCATCCACGTCAATCCCGTGAATTGGTTGGTTTTCAAAGAATTAGCAAAGCAATTAAGAAATGACATTGAATATCCTCCCAAATCTTAACTAAATAAAGCTGAGCCCCTTGAAGAACAGACTGCACAATCCAAATTTCCAAGTGGGTAAGATTAATACTAAAATGCAGAACCAAAATGCTTAAATGTTAAACCCATAGAAAATTCTAGTAAGCATACCAGAATTGTCTTTGGCTTGGCAAACACTGCTGCTTTCCTTCCTCTCCTCCTGCCATGCCATCTTTGGAATATCAGATGAAATTTCAAAAAGCAAGACATGCAGCAGTTCATTTTCATCTTGAAGCAAATTCTGCTTGTCCTCACACTCAAATGTGTAAGATGAGTTAAATTGATCAAGTGAAGAGCGATGAATTAATTACCACAACGTTGAAGCTTGTAGGATTTCAATTCAGAATTCCAGAAATCATCATTCCATCTACTCATTGATTATTCACTCATAATTAATCACATCTACATGCAGTATAAGAATATGAATCAAAAGTGAGAAAAAAGAAAACATGAATTTATATATGGTTTGAGAGAAAGAACAAATAATTTTGACGGGAAAACACTAATTGGCGGCACCCATCAGCGATGGAGGGAGCAGCATCAATCCAGTTAATTGATAAAGGATGAGGAGAGAGATTTTACTTTTTGGTGTCGGGAATTTGTACAAGTGCAGTTGTGAGAAAAAAGAAACACAAACCTCTTTGCCTCAGTCTTCGGATTGGAATTGGATGGTCTCCCCACTTATTGTGATGTGTGGAATGTGAGAAATCTTGTCCCAGTCAAGACCGCTTCCCTTGGTGCATCTTTCCTTTAACTTGTTTGGGCAGAACCAAATATAAAGTTGTTGAAGGGAGGACAAGTTGTTAAACCAGTCTGGCAAAGATTCCATTCCATCAAAGTCCTTTATACTCAACTTCTTTAGAGCAGTGATGTGTTGAATTTGTGGGAGGTGAGTTAGTTTTTCCCATCCCGTCAAGGTCAAATCTTCAAGGGAGGCGGGGATGGAACTCAGACTTGGGAATTCTTCCAGCTCTTCTGAGAAAGGGCCGATCCGTAATCTCTTCAACCTAGTAAAGCAGCCGAGACTCCCCTCTAGGAAGCCCACAAATTTCGGACAACCTAGAATGGTTAGAGAATGCAATTCCTTCAACTCTTCTTGGAAAGAGACCAGATTAGGGCAATATGCTATCCACAGCTCCTCAACAGATGACAGCCCACCTGATAGACACGTTAACCGAGTACAATTCCAAATTGTAAGGCTTTTAAGACAAGAAAGGTTTCCCAATAAAGCTTTTTCCACTCCGTTGAAGCTTTGGATCCATAAGTTCCTGAGAGCAGTGAGGCAATCAATTTGATGTGGCAGAGTTAGCGATTCCCCCGATCCTTCCAAATGCAAGACTTCAAGGGAGGAAGTGGAACTCAAATCTGGGAATTCCTTCAGCTCTTCTGAGAAAGGGCCAAGCTCTAATTTCTTCAGGCTGGCAAGAGAGCCCAAGATCTCCTTTGGGAAGCTCCTTAATTTTGGACAATGCTGAATACACAACTCAACAAGAGACTGCAACTGTTTCAATTCTTCAGGAATAGAAACCAAATTAGGGCATCTCCTTATCTGCAATTTCTCCAGAGCAGTGCAAGATGAGAGCCCACTCGGTAGATGTTCTAATTCATCACAATCGATAATATCTAGTGTTTTGAGAGAGACAAGTCCTTCTAGACTTGGAATAAACTTCAATTTTGGACAACCCCAAAATTCCAACTCAACAAGAGACTGCAACTGTTTCAATTCTTCAGGAATAGAAACCAAATTAGAGCACCTCCTTATCTCCAATTTCTCCAGAGCAGTGCAAGATGAGAGCCCACTCGGTAGACGCTCTAATTCATCACAACCATCAACATTTACTGTTTTGAGAGAGACAAGTCCTTCTAGCCTTGGAATAAACTTCAATTTTGGACACTTTTCAAAAACCAACTCAACAAGATACTGCAACTGTTTCAATTCTTTAGGACTAGAAACCAAATTAGAGCATTTCCTTATCTCCAATTTCTCCAGAGCAGTGCAAGATGAGAGCCCACTCGGTAGACGCTCTAATTCATCACAACCATCGACATTTATTGTTTTGAGAGAGACAAGTCCTTCTAGACTTGGAATAAACTTCAATTTAGGAACACTTTGCAGACATAATTTTTTGAGACACGTGGAGCTTGATAGGCAATCTCCTATGCTATTTATCACACTACAATCTACAATGCTGAGTTTCTTCAGAGATGATAATCCACTAACCAAAGCTCCCTCTAACTTACCACAATTGTATATGGATAATTGTTTGAGAGACGTAAATGCTCCATCACCATCACCCAAACTAGTTACTTCATCACAATTGTGAACATGGAGCCGCTGAAGAGGTAGAAGCCCACTAATATCTGGAATTCTGTGAAGCATCTTGCAATTGACAATTGTCAGAACCACCAAATTGTTGAGTGACAACATCCATGATGCCAACTTTCTACCTCCATAGCCAGCAATACGTAATCTTCTTATATTTGAGTGGGGTTGGAGGCCTTCTAAGACATCTTCATCTTTATCTTGATTGCCTTCACCTCCCGACCATTGAAATTCCAAATCCTTGATTGCCTTCTCTTTTAACTTTGCTGCCTCCGCTTCCGATTTGCCAGTAACAAGCTCAAGCTTAAAGATATTTAGTGCTCCTTTGAGTTCGCTTAAGCTTCCCAATTCTTCAACTTTACGTCCTTCTATTGTACCTACAAAAAACAATGGCAATGTTTGTAGGTTGGTTAGTCTCCCAAGGTCTGCAGGCATACGCTCTTCATCACTGAAATAAATATGCTTCAAGTTGATTAAATCTCCTATTCCTCTTGGGGGTATTTTAAGAGATCTGCACTCCATGAATCTAAATGTTTGTAGATTGTACAACTCGAAGACGAATTCCGGCAGTTCTTCTATTTGAGTTCCTGAAATGTCCAAGTACCTCAACCTCTTCAAGTTGCCAAAGCACATCGGCAATTGTTTTGCATCACAAGCATCTTCAAGTGCATCACAAGCATCTTCAAGGCTGAGAACTCGTAACCTCATAAGATCCACTTGCACACCATTAGAAAAACTATGCTTGGAAAACAATGTCTGCAACTTTTTAGCAACATCTTCTAAAATAGATGGCACCATTTCCCTCCCATCAATTAGATTCAAATGCCTAACATCATGACAAATACTGCTCCCAGGCTGCCCCTCAACAATTAGCGTCTCAGATTTTGAAATTGACTGAGCAAAATCATGAATCAAATCATGCATCTTACAACATATAACACTCCCTGTTACATTATCCCTCCATTCCTCCTGAAATAGGGAATATGATAACAAATATCTGAAATACTTGTCACCAATATCTTCCGCTGCCATATTACTAATTTCTTCAGGTGATTCAAGAAATCCTTGAGCCATCCAAAGTTGAATTAGCATCTCCCTTTCCATGACAAAATCCTTTGGAAAAATGGAACAAAATGCAAAACATTGCCTCAAAGCCAGTGTGGGCAAGCGATCATAGCTGAATTTTACAATATCCAAGATCCCCTCCTGCTTTTCCAGTGAATCCCAAACACAATTCTCTGTAATTGCCTGCCACTCCCTTTTGTCCCTCTTTTTCTGCAAAATAGCCCCTATAATACTTGCAACTAGTGGAATGCCTTTACACCTTTTAGCAATCTGTTTTCCAATTCCCTCTAACCCCTCAGTTACTGAATTGTCTCCAAATGCTCTCTGCTTGATTATACTCCAGCACTCATCTTCATTTAATTGCCGAGGACGATGGATGTGTCCATCAGGGAGTGCCATTAGTGATGCAACATCTTCAAGCCGGGTTGTTACAAGCACCTTACCCCTACTCCCGTTACTTCCACTTATTCCCAACAAGCAATCCCTTAAATCCTCCCACTTCTGTCTCTCCTCATTCCAGACATCATCTAGTATGAGAAGATAATTTTTCTCCCCCAACTTCTCTTGTATTTTCTTCATCACTATATCTTTGCTTCCAAAATCACCATCACCACTACTACTTCCACCACAAGACTTCAACATCTCCATTAAAATCATTTTGACATCAAAATTTTCAGACACACAAACCCACATTTTATTATCACCAAAATGTTCACGTATTTTATCATTTTTAAGCACTGCTTTTGCTATAGTGGTTTTGCCAAGGCCGGCCATACCCACTATAATCATGACAGGGAGGTCATGCTGACTACTTGAGTCAACCAAGAAGCTGACTATTTTAGAGACATCTTCGTCTCTTCCAAAAACTTGAGATGAAAGAAAAGAGTGGGTCTCTCGGCCTGCCCTGCCTCTGGGTTCAGGAACCACGTTTGCAAGTTTGGTTTGCAATCCCAACTGAGCAGCCGAGAGATGGATATCAGCAAGTCTTTTATTCAAATTCGCAACTCTATTAGCCATTTTCTGGCGAAATAGCCAGGGCGAGGGGTGAAGAAAAGTAGAGCGCCTGACCTTTGATTTCTGAACTTCCCGCTGCATACCTTCATAAGCGACCTCCTCCAGTATATCATCAGCCTCATCTGCAATATCTCGAAGATCCTGGAGCCACTTCTTCAGAGCAAGGTGGCCACTGACGTTCTTTTCATTAGCATCTTGCAAGAAACCTCGGAGCGTCTTCATTTTATCACGAAACTCCGTCAGGTCATTGTTCCATCCCACTGCTAAATTGAACTGATCAGAAGCAGAAGGAGTCATCGTCGACGCAACTGCATCTACGAGAGAGGTGAACTGATCAGAAGCAACAGCCATCACCTTCGACAGAGCTGCATCTACGAGAGAGGCAAGGATACTCGCACCCATCTTTGTTTCAATAGTTTGGGGAAGAGATTTGCTTGGAAGTCTACAGCAAAAAGAAGGAAAAGAATATAGTATATGCTGAAGACATATTGATGCAAGACTGTTAAAAGAAAATATGCAGATTGGTTAATTGATTACTCCTAATACTTGATTTAGTGTTTTTATTTTCTGATTAATTACTAATTATCAATAATTGATGAGAGAGACTTGGTGCGTCCAAACGCGTGTTAGACAGCCAGGATTAAAAAAAGTGAAAAAAAAAATTTTTGTTTTATATTTTATGGAGGAATTGTTAGGGTAAAACCATGTCTGTACGGAAAATGTCCTTACGAGGGATTCCGTTCACACCTATGATTTGAAAGCTACTGCCTAAAATTAATCCAACCGAGTCACTTACAAACCTCTAAAACAAAAGAGGCGTTAAACATTTGGTTGGGTTTAT